CATGGTTAACTTGTTGTCCACCAGCACTCCCAGGTCCTTCTCGGCAGAGCTGCTTTCCAGCAGGTCAGCCCCCAGCCTGTCCTGGTGCCTGGGGTTATTCCTCCCCAGGTGCAGGATCATGCACTTGCCTTCGCTCTGTGCCTTCCTCCAGGTCATCGAGGAATACATTGAAGAAGACTGGAGCCAGTACTGACCCCTGGGGGACACCGCTAGCTACAGGCCTCCAACTAGACTTTGTGCCACTGACCACAACCCTCTGAGCTCGGCCATCCAGCCAGTTCTCAATCCACCTCACTCTCCGTTCATCTAGCCGTACATCATGAGCTTGCCTATGAGGATGTGATGGGAGACAGTGTCGAAAGGCTTGCTGAAGTCCAGGCAGACAACATCCACTGCTCTCCCTTCACCTACCCAGCCAGTCATTCCCTCACAGAAGGCTTATCAGGCTGGTTAAGCACGATATTTCCCCTTTGGTGAATCCATGCTGACTACTCCTGGTCACCTTCTTGTCCTCCATATGCTTAGAGATGACCTCCAGGATGAGCTGTTCCATCACCTTTCCGGGGATGGAGGGGAGGCTGACAAGCCTGTAGTTCTCTTGGTCCTCCTTCTTGCCCTTTGGGAAGGCTGGGGTGACATTAGCTTTCTTCCAGTTCTCAGACAAGCCCTTTTTCCTTTCCTCAGTGAGTTTTTCTGCCACCAGCCTAGAGAATTTGCCTTGTTTTAATCATTTTTCCAGTGGGTCTTGAAATTGTAACACTTTGCAAAGAAAAGGAAAGCTCTGAGAGCACCTTGTGCCCAAATTGCTTGGAGTTTTGAAGCTCTCCCGGGAGGCAGCTGCAATAGAAGAGGACAGAAACAAGGTATCCAATGTCCTGGATGAATGCTCTCACCTCTGAGGTGTTTTATGAAAGGAGGCAACTGGCCCCCAAAGACTCTTCTGGTGTAATTTGAAAGACAGTGGCAGTGGCTAGCAAGTTAGATATGGAGCAGGCCTGTCAGGCATGCTCAGAGCTATGCTTCTTGCTTTAGGTTTTAAGCAATATACCTAGTGAGATAGAGATTACTAATATGTTCTGGGGAGGCCTGAAACATGAGACAATCTGGGTGGCACTGTCATTTACCATAGACACGCAGAGGAATTCAGTATCTTCTGTCTTTTGAGTGTCTCCAGGGTTTGGTGGTGGCTGAGCACAAGCACTTGGGCTAGCTGTGTTAAATTTAGACATGTAAAAAGGAATGGAAGTAGGACTTGGCTACATGAACTGTTTTCTGGAACAGGTCAATATAGTCTTGGCACTCATAAAAGGACATTGAATCCAAAACTATTATTGTAACTGTTAATGTCAGAATTAAATAGAACATTTGCTTGAAGGTTGAGATTCCTCATGGGAATTCCACATGGCTCCCATGGAGAGAAATGAGAGTTACATATTCTCAGTGCTGCGTGGGGTTAAACTGGAGATTTAATGGAGGAAGGAAGATAGAGCAAAGGGACTTGCCGCGAACATTTTGATTCACTCAGTCAGGTTAAATCTCATGTGAGACAATACTGCATCTTTTCCCTTGAACTGATGATTTTACATTCCTATTGCCTTTGTTTTCCTTTGTTATAGCAAAACACTGGAAGGATTTTGTAGCTTCATCCTCTCATCAGAGTTGGTCACTTTGCAATTGCATTGCTCCTTTTTGCTTCAGAAGATTTCATTGGTCAGTCCTGTTTTGAAATGGGCAATATAAGTGTATTGAATCTCATCTGTTTAATCATCTTTCCCTTATCCTTGCATGGTATAATAGGCTGGCTGTCACATTTGTATCACTTTAGCATAACAGGAGACAGTAAAATTTGTTTCAGTGAAGATATATCCACTAAAAATAACTTTCCCAGTGTTTTTACTATCCCCAGCTATGACAGAACAACTCAAGGCATTAAATTCTGCTCTCTTAACTTCCAAGAAATTGTTCATGTGTGTAGAATTCCCTCTTACTTATACATACAGTTTGAATTAGACTGCATCCATGATTGGTCAGAAGGATTCAAAGGTCTTTCATGGTGGTAGGAAGCTGGAGGTTTTTTTAAACGCTGAGGAATACCATAGCTGTTCAAAATCTAAACGTAAGAAGCATCTGAACCTTAGTCACATAATTGCGCAGGGCAGCTTAGATCCAGTTCCAGAACATGGCCCAATTTTTTATGTCACTGATTTCAGAAAACCTCATGGAGGAGTTAGGAGCTAATGGGGTCAATATCAGATTCCTAAAATTAAGGAATAAATGGGGATAATAATAAGGGATAAATGGCTCCCCAAAATTAACCCTTTGCCTCCCTCCACACCAACCACATGTGCCCTTCCAACAACCCACACACATCTGAAATGAGCATCTTCTGACCTGTTCTAATATGGAGCCACATTTCTCTTCCTTTGTTTTCCTGAACATTATGACTCTGAGTGCAGATGTAGCTATATAACATTATGCAAATACATATTCTGACATCAGAATTATGTTTTGCTTTTTAATTCCTTGATGCAGAAAAATTATAGATCCAAAACAATGTAATTCCTCATCTCACATAGACTCTTCGAGACATAGTTTGGCCATGACTGAGAAATTATCTCCACTTTTTCCTTTTTTTTTTTTTTTTTTTTTTCCTTTTAGGCCACCTTTTCAAAAATGGCAGAGACATGGTAATTTTTGTTCCTGTATGCCCATTACAGAAACAAAGGTAGACCTGCTTTCTACCTTCTAAAATTCAGTCCCTTTAGAATGTGAACCTGAGCATTCAATGTCACTGGCCACTTTGGAAATTTTTGGTCTCATTTTCTACTATATATTAAAATAGTATTTAAAAGTAAATAATGACTAAGTAATGAGTAAGCCATACCTGATAAGGAGTACTTTAATATTTCATGCATCTTATGCTTCAGGAATTACGTTCTTACATGTCAACTCACTTTTGATATTTTCTTTCTTTTACATTTGCAGAATTAGAGACATTGAAAAATCATCTTAGGTTTGTTGTCATTCTGCTGGCACAGTCAACATCTTTTCTTTTGCTTTCTCTGTGTGAGTGATAGTAATCATTTTTTTAAATGTTGCTTTCAAACACCATTATAAATTTGGATCTGACCCTTAGTTTCATACCAGTCCTTCACTGCTGTATTATACCAGCTAATCTCTTACTTATTTGAAAGATTTAAAATGACTGTTTTGATTTTCTGTGGTCATACTGTTTAGTTTTTTCACAATATGTTCAATATTGAAGGACTGTGCAGTAACCAGTTATTTTCACACATTTGCTAGTGCCATAGTGTTTGGTCCCTGTAGTGCTTTGTATGAGGAGAGAGCATTTGATGAAAGGTGGACCAGAAATATTTACTTTTGAGGTTTTTGATTTGCAAATATTTCAAGAAAATATTTCATGATGAGTTCAAAAACCTGTTTATGACAAGTTTGCTTTTAGTTACTGGGGCCATTTCTATTGCTATTGATTTTAGATTTTGCATAATTCTCACTTTGGACATGTAAGTTATGTTATATACCTTAACCATGCAATACAGTGAGTGCAATTCCTTGGCCGTTGAGGAGTCTTACTAAATAAATTTAGAATCCAAAGAGGAGCATGGAGCATAGATTTTTTTCTTGTAGATCAGAGGGTTAAAATGAAGAATGTTTTACAATTTCTAAGTGTTTGTTGGATTATTAATGTGCACTGTGGAAAAAGGGCATCCTAGGTATCAAATATCAAATATGTAGATTCTGATCCTCCACACTTTTTCAGTGAAGCATCCCAACTAAAGAAGAAACACATGATGTACATCAGTATAAAACTAAGAGCAGAATCTGACCAATAAGCTCCACTGTGATGGCTCGGTAAAGTACTGTGCACAGTAAAATACAGTGCTTTCTTGTAGGTTCGCCTACTGTAGCTCTTGCTATCTGTCTCTTCCTTTGAATTGTCTCCTGAAGTCTCTGACTCGTCAACCCCCAAGAAATCCCTTGGGTCCAGTTACTTTTACTCTGAATTTTTGGAAAACAGAGAGTCAGGAAAAGGGCAGTAAGTTAATTTTTAGGTGCAGGTTAGACTAGCAGAATTGAGGCTTTACACTACTGACATGCAGAGAGAAATGAAACAGTATTGCTCTCACGAGAAACTTGAATGTGACTTCTAAGATTGTCATTGACTTTGACTAACTTAGGAAGGTACAAATGTCATATTTATTCCAGTCACTTTTATGTCTTCCCTTTCTCTCTCTTTTGCTATGGAAGACTGTATAAACTTTTAATACCTTATGAATAACCCTTTAAGTTTCCTGTGTCACCAGGACATATGGGTCTGTGCCATTAGAAGTGACTGCATCAAAGTGTGACAATAGAGAAATCTGTAAGTGAATAAAAGACCTTGTAGGCCAAACACCTTTTCTCTTCTTTGCCTCAATAAATGGTTTCAGTTCTGATTTAAAAACAAATCTCTCTCTTGGTCTGATAGACTTTCCTGACCTTGACAAGGGGAAGAGGCTTATAAGGCACCTTGCTAGGAATAAAGCTGCCTTAGCAGGACTTAAATTCAGACACCAAGAAAATGGCTATGGATAGACAGTAAACTCCCAGTTATGGTAGTGGTCAGATTTGAGTCTTCTTCCTTGGAGCTGCACAACACTAAAAAGCATCCTACTATACTGTGTAGCCTTCAGACATGTATAATTCATCTTTCACAAGAAGAGGTGTGTATAATTCTCAGCAGCTGGAAAGGAAGATCTTTCCCTATCCTCCCAAACCAAATCCCGTTAGGTGTTGAGGTGAACAAAGAAAGGTAGCACTTTCTAGTGTAGCCAGCTGCAGTTATATTAGCAGGAAATCCCAAATCAACACTTTGCAAACATTTTCATTAAAAAATTAACCCTTAGGTTGACATGTGTTATCTGTGGTCCATGCAAAATAAGACTTTTTCTTGTGTATTTTTTTTAAATATGTACCACTGTTTTTTTTTTTCTCCCTAGGCTGGAATCTGGATCCTGCAAGGCTGTCATGTTGGGATGCTGCAAAAGGCATTGCTGCATCTACTTGTTGTAGAGTTGTTGAAGTTTCCCTCTGTGCAGGGAATGCAGCAGTTACGAACAGGAAACTATTTTCCTTGCTTAGTGGTTTTCTTGTTACAGTTTTTAAGTGGGTTAACACTCTTATTTCCAGGAAACTCAAACTAGATTTGAACAGGGGTTAGAGGGAGGACGGAGGGAGATTTAAGTGTGTATGGTGTCTGAAAAAATTAAACTAAATAGTTTCCAGTGATTAAATAGCAGCAAGTTCATCAAAAGCTCCAGTTAAGCCTTGGAGTCCTATGGTAAGCTGCAAATGAACACAGGGCACCTCCAAAAGACATTGTTAGTGGCATCTATTTTAAACCTTCTTTCAAGTGGAAGATCCAGGCCTGGCAAATGCAAAACATCAGCCCTTAGAAGAGCAAATGACTTTCTCTAGAGAACTGAACAATTGGCCAAAGTCTGTCCGTCTGTCTTCCTCTCTCTCTGCTCTGGATTGCTGTGCTTTTATAAACTGTGTTTTCGTAACTCAGATAAATGGTAGGAGTTTAACAGAACCCTACAAGTAATAACCATCCTATTCATGCTTAATATCTGTAATATCTAAGGGGTGGGCCCAAACTAGAGGTATTTCTGTTTTCTCTGTGAAGCGTGTTGCTTTAACGTATGTATAGCCAATTCTTGTTGTGAACATGTGAATCCATTGCCTGTTTTAGAGGAGGCAGCAATTTAGTTTCAGTAGCTGCAGAGAGTTTCACTGAAATAGTGTTACTGATTGCCTTTTGTGTGATTTAGAAGGCACATTAGCCAGATAGTTCTGAAAGTGTGATATAATTATATGCAGCGTTCATGGGAAATGCTCTGAAGTCTTCTCCCATTGTGATAAAAACTTTTATCGCTCTTCGAGCTCCATGAGTGTGTGCTGTGTGCTGTGCTGAATTTGATAGAAAACTCAGTTATTACTGAACAGTGAGGGGTAGAGACAGATCCTCTGACCTAGATTCCCCCGCCTTTGACAGTGGCAAGTCACCTGTGCATCCAAAGGTTAATGACCAACTGAGTGTGTTGTCAGCTCTCCACCTAGGTGGGTGGGAGTGGATAAAAGAGTATTGATTGTGGGAGGGGAGACTAGATGGAATAGTTAAGTAAAGGGGATTCTAGGCATCATGGCTGGGATCTTCAGTGGGTGCTCTGATGGATTCTGGCCATCTGATTTCCCTAGGACACTTTGTCAATAACACCCTCTACATTTTCCTGAGGGACTTCTAGCCTGTCTAACGGTCATCACTGTTCATATGTGAGGGAAAAGAGGCAGAGGGTGGCTTACTTTAAAGTGACAACTCTTGGTGCCTGTAAGAGTCTAGGGCTGTAATACTTCCCCACGACTGCTGGCTGACGGTCTGATCCTCTCATGATCTGAGTCCTCCTGATTCTGCGTGTCTTGATCTGTGTGGCAAGGCCATGTGGCTGACATGGGGCAGTTAGAGCTATCATGGACCTTTTCTGCAAGGGTGGGTAGTATTCAGAGCCAACCTAAGCGCAGGATGCCTTTAGAAAGGCTTGAAAATGCTGCGGCAGTGTGTGAGTACCCTTCAGATGCAGGATACACAGGTCAGACTGTGCTGTGTGCCGGTACAAACAGCAGGGATATTAGTTACAGAGCCCTTTGCTTTTGAGGTGAAACTTTGCTTGTATTCATTGTTTCAAGGAAAGCAGTTGGGATTTGAAGACCAGATCATGTGATGATATAACTAATTCCAACTCTCTTATTAGAGCTAGGCTGATTTCCACAAGTCTGGCCCAACATTTCTGAGAAATTGTGGATGACAGTTTTTTGTTTGTTTATTTGTTTGTTGCATTGAAAAGCTGAAGCCTTTCAAATATGTGTGTGTGAGGTAAACAGGATTTGTACATGGACCATTGAAAGTGCAACACTTCAGGCTGTATTCTGGATTAAAATTCTGGAAATGTGAGTTTTTGTAGAGAATCCCACGTGTAGTGGGAGAAGAGCATTTTGAGTTACTTGACCAAGGGGATGGGACTCAGCAGTAGTTGTCCCTATTGGTGATGCCATAATACGTGCTTGACTCAAATACAACTTTGCACAGGCCAGATCCTGAAGAACCCACGTAAATAGATATTTGTGGTTGTTCGTACTGGTGTGTCCACTGTTAAGTAGGCTGGACATGTGAATAAAACTAATATTTTTTAAAGTGTAATGTGTTTTTTTTTTCCTTTGTCAAAAGAGTGGTTGCACTCTTGGACTTAGTTATGTTCATATGAAATATTTGACATGGAATTAACACAACTCTGCAGCTTTCTTAGGACAGTTCACAGCCACTTGCAGGAGATACTTTTTCTTCTTCAGAGGTCATTGCTGCAGTACTGCACTGAACACCTGCCTCAAGGAAAGAGGTGAAGGTAACTAGATGTTTCCTTCTCCTAGTCCTGCAGAGGCTTTATTCTGTGACAGAGCAGCCCAAGGCCACTCAAATTTATATCAAACCAAAGTGATACCTTGGCTAGAAATCAGTATAGTGATGGAGAAATGAGGGGAGGAAGGGAAGGTATCTGATCACACTTTCTGCTGTAGCATGTTTTCTTACTCTTCTCACCTCATGGTTCTGCAGAGGATGGATGCGTTTTAAAGGACTATCTCCTTTTCTGTTCAATGTCTCACTCCATTGCAGCCCTCTCCTGAGAAGTCCATGAGAAAATGTTTTCAAAGGTACCTCTAAAGTGCCTTTGCATCTCAAATATTCTGGGTCTTGTTGGAAACCTAGGCAAACTCAAAGCTGAGTTAGACACTTCTCTAAGTGATGCCATCCCCTGGGAGAGCTAGCTTGCTTCATCAGGCTCACTGCAGCTGCAAATGTTCTATGCTGATCTCCAAATTACTCCTCACATCTCTTGCTCCTTGATTTGGCAGCTGCAAAGGAAAGTCCCTGTAGGCAGAATTTTGCACTGAGGAGGCATTCTGTCTGCTATACAGTCCCACTGAAAGCAAGTGATGAGACAGCAGTCAGCGAAAAGGCCCCCTTCCTCTCACTAGATGCAGTGTTTTTTATCTTGCTGAATGAAGGAAGGGCAATGATTCGAAACATAGCATTTGTTTTCTTCTGGCTTGACACTGTGGCAGCACTGTTGCCAGTGGGTGCATGTGCTCATCTGCTCCCAAATCCCCATCTCTCATTTAAAGACTTCTGACTATCTCTAATCCAGGCTTCACACATCACTGTGTAAGGTCCTTGGCCATCTCTGTAGTTGACTGAACTCTGACCGCTGTTTCTCATTTTCACATTTGGGTTCATGCCCATCTTTTATTTCTCCTTTGTTCTCTCAGTCACCTTATTTTAAACCACAGGCTTAATCTGACCTCACTTGCCTACTTGCTTCATCTCTCTCCCTCCTTCTCACAGTCCAGATAATCCTCACATACCTCTTTTTTTGGAGGAAAGCAAGGATATTACAAACTTACCCACCCCAAAATACACATACTAAAGTGAGCAGCACAAGTGCCATTGAGGAACCAGAGTATCAACATTAGTTGCCATCATTATGCACACTGTCACTGTAAACTCTACATCAACAGCGGTCGAAATCTGTTTCAACATATAGAAACAAGATGGCTGCCAACTGCCAAAGCATTTTGCATTTGGGTATATAATGTCCAGGTATATTGTAGGCAATAGTGGCAGGTAAATGAGCTTTCTTTCTGCCAAAAATTTGGATTAAAATTAATCACTTTATGTTTACAGTGGATCTAGTCATGTTGTCCAATGATGATAAAAGCACCATCTCCTTCACCCCCATGCATCAGCTCTCCTCCATTTTTATTTCCTAACTAAAATTAAAAATGGTCCGAGGGAAAAAAAAATACCTGCGAAAATGCTAATCTTATCCAGTAGGTAGAAGAGATCCAAGTACTACTAAGGGAGGAATGGTCATTCTCAGGCCGCATGCAGATAGTCACTCATCAAAACTGTAAATGATAAGAGAGATAAAAGCATTTCCAGTCAGGCGATAAGCTCAGCTCTGACCCTCTCCAGTGCTATAAATACAGAATAAAAATGTCACCCCATAGAAACACATAATTTTGCACAGAATCATAATGCACTGATGTATGGTGATGATGCTGTATTATCAACAAACACAAATGCACGCATGCTTCACATACATGACTACGTAACCCTTAGCTATTTTACCCCTATGTAGAAACACCACCCCTAGTTCTACAGCTTTATCTATGTGTACAAGCTGCCTTCTTTTAACAGGACACTGGAAATGGAACCAGACTCATGTGCACAATATGATTTTCGCTACTCTGATGAGGAATGCAGCCATAAATCCAGGCTAGTTGTGCAAAAGCAAGCAAAGGGAAAGACACATTTTAATTTTCAGTGGGTCAAGGGCAAAACAAATTGTTACATGGCTTCCTCCTGAAATCCAGGACTTGGGAACTTCTGGCAAAAGATGTAACTACTCCAGGACTGGGTCTGAGACCCTAGAAATCTGCCTTCCTACATTTTCTGAAACATAAAGGTAAGTGCGACATGCCTGATAAACCTCCCTCATAGTCTGACTTGCTGTAGCGTAACTGTTGTGTGACTGATAAGCCAAAGAGTCTTTGGATTCAGGTGAGGTTTAGGGTAAATTTGAGAGTTTGGATCTGAAGGAAGGATCAAATCTGAAAACCTTGAAATCTTGTGACTTTTGTATTTCAGCCCACGCAATAGAAGCATACAAGATTTGCTGAGTCAAGTCAATGGGTATTTTGCTTGTTTCAGAACTGCAGATTGGAACTATTGTTTCTAGACTTCTATAATCCACACTTCAGTAAACATAGATTTTCTGGACAGCATAAATTCAGTTGATAATATTTTGAGTAAATGAGTCTCTACTTAAATTTGTTATTTTACATTGCTTTTTGGTTCATATCATTGGCATGTAAATAACTTCCCAAATACATAGAATTTTGAAGATTATTTATTCTGTCTTAAGTATATTAAAGGCATGAGTTATGCTAACTCAAGATCTGATCTTTTGAGCTACATCTGCTGTAAAGGCCCATAGGCCCTATAGATTATGAGATCATAACTGCATTCATGGGTAATATAGGTAATACAGAAAGAGCAGAAAGAAGGAGCAGTGATATAAGTTATCACTGCTCACAGGAGCAGTGATAAATTTATATACACTTGATACTGAGTATTTGATATACTCCTGTGAGTATAAATTTATAATATATTACTCACAAGAGTATGAATTTATTAATTTTAAATACAGCATTTATATTTGCAATTGTAATTGGCCTATTATAATGATTTTTCTAGATGTGAATTCTTCCCAGTAGAGAATACAATTTGGAGAGTCATTGAACCAGAAGAAATGAAATCAGAGAAAGACTATTATCTCTGCTGTTAAATTACTGTGGCAGAGATTGTGTTTCAGACATCCAGAATGCATGCCAACAAATCAGCAGAAATGAGAGGTATTCACCCATGAATTTCATGATAAATAGTGAAATTACTTATGGCACTGATGTAATTCACTTAAACTTCCATGGTGTCTAATGTCTGGAGGATAGCAAACGTGATGCCTCTCTTTAAAACAATTTCCACAGGAGCATCTAAGGAACCGTGGTCTGGTAAGTGTGACATCTGAACAAGGTAAATTAACAAACACTATAATAGGGAATTCAATCAAAAAATGCCTGGTAAATATGAAAAATTTCCTTGGTAAAAGTCAGCATGGTTTCTATTAAGGGAGGACTTACTTTATTTCTTTGAAGGGGTAAACAAGCACAGTGATAATGGTGATTAAATTAGGTAAGATTAGATTTCCAGAAGGTTTTAGAGTGAATTATACATGGTTAAAAATGGGAAACAGAGGGTAGAGTTTCTGGCCAGTTCATAGAATGGAGAGGAGTTACCAGTGAAATCTGTTCTGAGGCCTGTGCCATCCAACACTTTCATAAATGGCCTAGCAGAGGGGATAAATAATGAGATGATGAACTTCGCTGGTGATACCAAGTTATTCAGGGCAGTAAGGAATAGGAGTGACTGTAAAGAATCACAGAAGTACCTTACAAGACTGAGTGACTTGGCGATGAAAGGCAGATGAAATTCTGTGTAGATAAATGTAAAGTGATGAGTATGAGGAAAAATAATTTGAGCTTCACAGTGATGGGCACTGAGTCCTTCCCAGTCAGAATAAGACTTCAGGGTTATAATAGGTAGTTCCATCAAAAATCACCTCAGTGCTCAGTAGCCATATAAACAGCAAATCAAAACTTAGTAAAGGCAAGGATGCATGCAGAGAATGTCACTGTGGAGCCTGAATACCATGTGCAGTTCTGGTCCCCTCTCTTCAAAGCAGAACTGGAGAAGATTCAGTGAAGGCCAAGGAGGATGGTCAAAGGTAAGGGACAACTCTGTGTGAGGAGTGGCTAAGTGGACTGGCACTCTTCAGCCTGGAAAAGAGACTATGGGTGGTGGTGGTGGGTATGACAGAGGTCTAATCATGAGTGGTGTGGAGAGAATAGGCAGGGATTAGCGGCTCACTGCCTCTTCTGGGGTAACTAGACTAGGAGTAAACAAATGAGGTTGGTGGGATTCAGATTCAAATCACAGAGAAGGATGTAGCCCTCATGCAAAAAGAAGCACAACTGGAGAGTTTTTTGACAGAGGATGGGGTGGATGCAAGACATTTATAGGGAAATAAAAGGAGACTGGACAAGCACTAGTAACGTACATTGTAGAGCACCAAAGAGACAAAAATCATCAGATTCAGGAGATCTTGAGAGCTAAAAATGGTTAAAGGCTTTAAGAGAGTGGAGGAAAGTGTCATGTATGTTTGTTTTTATTTTTCTTTAGGTGTCTGCTTGTAGCCATTGCTGGAGCCAGATGTGGAGCCAGCTGGCCCCTTGATCTGAACCAGTACAGGTATTCTTAGGCTTCATTCAAAAAAGGCTGTGCCTTATTTGTATGTCTCATAATCACATAGCACGTCAGTTCTTCAGGGCTGGTGCAAATTAGGAGAAAATCAATGGTCTAGTGTACATTGGAAAAACAAACAAACAAACAAATAAATCACAGTTATTCTAACTGTGTGCGTTACATCGGCAAAACATTTCACACAGTACAACAGCAAGGTCATTGAGAATGGGTTCAGAACTTCTGCTGGAATAAATTAACCCCATTAACATGCAATAGGCCTA